GATGAATGGATGCCATGGTTGTGGTATGGACTTGTTCCTTCTTATGCAGGAAAGAAAAGGCCGAAAATGTAGGAGTTTCAACGTGAGAATGTGAAGGTGAAAATGTCCCACATTAGAAAGTTAGAAAACCTTGTAAGGGCTTATAAGGTGTTGGGCTACTCCCCCCATTGCCAATTGGTTTTGCCGTAGAACCTCATCTTCCCTTCACTCTGTCATAGCAGGTTGCCCACTTGTGAAAGCCCAACAACCATACGTGCTCCACGTCACCAAATATGTGTTTTCCATGTGTTAGCCTTGAAAATTCGCCACCCGTGTAGGTGAAAATGTCTCACATTAGAAAGTTAGAGCGTTGCATTCATGTATTACTCAATAGTACAAATGAAGTTTTTATAAGTTCATAAGGCAAAGTAGAACGTGACTTATAATTTAGAGACATTGCTAAATTTAATTTTCCAACTTCCTCAGTGAGGAAATTACCCCATGCTCAGTGAGGAAATAGCAAGACACAAACACAAGTTCTCTTTTTTTCCTTTGTTTTCTTTTTTCTTTTCGGAGAAATCAGATATATTTTTATTTTGTTTTCTTTTTTCTTTTCGGAGAAATCAGATATATTTTTATTACTAATGAGAATTATGTTATAAAATAAAATAATTAGAGTATGGAATTACCACTGAAAAATGATAGTGGAATTATATCTTTTCTTGTGTCATTTGCACAGATTGAATTTCCTCTCAAATAGAAACTCACTCACTAATACTCAAATTTCTCTCTCCTTTTCTTTCTTCTATCTTCTGTTGGTGTACATTACAAATGAACGAACAAGCCTATTTATAGGCGCTTCTGAAGTTTTCTCGTGAGTGTACAGTGCATTGTACAGTGTACTTCTGCCTAATTCCGAGAGCGTACAGTGCACTTTGCTTCATATTTTCAACCATGTGGGCTCCACTATTTACGACAATCCAAGGAAGATTGCAATGCTGAATATCAAGATGTGGGCTCCACTATTTACTATTTACAACACTCCCCCTTGGAGACCACATATCCCTAAATTAGTTGCCTCATTAAAACCTTGCCTGGAAAAACCCAGTGGGAAAAAACCAAAGCGAAGGAAAAAGAGTACAACTTTATTTGGGACATTAGAGTAATGTGAAGTGCGCTCATGTTGCCTCGTTAAAACCTTGCTAGGAAAAACCCAGTGGGAAAAACCCTAGTCGAAGGAAAAAGAGTACAACGCGCTTATGTCATGTGTTAGAGAACTCTTGAATGCTCCCCCTGATGTTGCATGTTCCAATTTGATTGCTTGCAGAGTTGTCGTAATCCGATGCCATGCACTAGCTTCTGGAATGTGCACTTGGGTAAAGACTTGGTGAAGAGATCTGCCAAGTTATCGCTTGAACGGATTTGCCTGACTTTGATTTCTTGATTCTTCTGAAGCTCATGCGTGTAGAAAAACTTTAGTGATATGTGCTTGGTCCGGTCACCCTTGATGTACCCTCCTGTGATTTGAGCAATACAAGCTGCATTGTCCTCATTTAGGATGGTTGGAGTGTCCGTTGCTGAGGGCAAAGCACAGGTGCTTCGAATGTAATGAATCATTGACCTTAACCAAACGCATTCACGACCGGCTTCATGGAGGGCAAGTATTTCTGAGTGATTGGAAGATGTGGCTACCAATGTTTGCTTTGTTGAGCGCCATGAGATTGCAGTTCCTCCGCATGTAAACACATACCCAGTTTGTGAGCGTCCTTGATGTGGATCAGAGAGATATCCTGCATCAGCATACCCAACAATACTCGGGGCATTGGTCAATTCACTGGAATAGAATAAGCCCATGTCTGTCGTTCCACGAAGATATCGTAGAATATGTTTAACACCGCTCCAATGTCGGCTTGTTGGAGCATAGCTGTATCTTGCTAACAAATTTACTGAGAATGCGATGTCAGGTCTGGTACATTGTGCTAAATACATTAAAGCACCTATTGCACTAAGATATGGTACTTCTGGACCAAGGACCATTTCATCATCCCCTTTCGGACGCTATGGATCTTTCTTAGTGTCAAGCGACCGAACGACCATTGGTGTGCTAAGTGGATGAGCTTTATCCATGCCAAACCGCTTTAATACTTTTTCAGTATAATATGATTGATGCACCAAAATTCCATCAGCACTGTGCTCGATCTGTAGGCTAAGACAATATTTTGTCTTTCCAAGATCTTTCATCTCAAATTCGCGTTTGAGATAATCAGCAGTCTTTTGGAGCTCTTCAGGAGTTCCAATTAGATTCATATCATCAACATAGACTGCCACTATCGCAAATCCAGACTCTGATTTCTTAATAAACACACATGGGCAGACAGGGTCGTTTGTGTATCCTTCTTTCAGTAAATACTTGCTGAGATGATTATACCACATTCGCCCAGATTGTTCAAACCCATATAATGATCTTCTCAATTTGATTGAGAACATGGCCCGTGGTTTATTACTGGCTGCATCGGGCAGCTTAAGTCCTTCTGGGACTTTCATGTATATGTCTGTATCCAACTCTCCATACAGATATGCGGTAATGACATCCATAAGTCTCATTTCAAGTTTTTCTGAAACCGCTAGGCTTATCAAGTAACGGAACGTAATTGCGTCCATTACTGGGGAGTATGTTTCCACATAATCAATTCCAGGCCTTTGTGAAAAACCTTGCGCAACAAGTCGTGCTTTATACCTTGCAATCTCATTTTTCTCATTGCGCTTTCTTGTAAATACCCACTTGTAACCTACAGGGTTCACATTGAGTGGGGTTGGAACAATAGGTCCAAAGACACTCCTTTTTTCCAAAGAGTCTAATTCTGCCTGGATTGCATCTTTCCACTTAGGCCAATCATGTCTCTGTGTGCATTCATCAATGGAGCAAGGCTCAATATCATCAACTTTTATGATCTCAGTAGCCACTAAGAATGCAAATATATTATCGATGATTATCTCATTTCTGTTCCACAATTCATTAGTGGATGTATAATTTATGGAGATTTCTTGGCTTTCAGGTACAGCTACCACTTCAGGAGCACATGTCTCATCAAGGACATTTTCCTTCTCAGGAAGTACCCGTCCCTCTTGGGGGGAATTTGAATCATGAATTATGGGCTCTCCATTTACTTCATTTGCATTCATTTTGGCCATCAACTTCCTCTTTCGAGGAACTGAGTCCTTTGAGCCTAGTGGTCTGCCACGCTTCAGGCGTGCAGCAGATGAGCCGTTTGCTGGCGCATTGCCTTGTCCATTATGAACATCAATCCTTGCAGGTGCATTGGCAGCTGGGATATGTGATTTCATCACCTTCGTTACATCATTAAATGCATCTGGCATCTGATTTGCAATGCTTTGGAGGTGAACGATCCTTCTAACTTCGTTTTCGCATTGAGTGGTACGTGGATCGAGATAAAACAAAGTGGGTACATCCCATGATAATTCGCGCCGTTCTTCAGGAACGGGTTTGCCTTGTTCTTTAGGAACAGATTTTTCTCCCCCTAATAGTGGGAAAATTGTCTCATCAAAATGACAATCCGCGAATCATGCTCTAAAGATATCACCAGTCAGGGGCTCCAGATATCAGATAATAGATGGTGAATCAAAGCCAACATAAATTCCCAATCTGCGTTGAGGGCCCATCTTAGTACGTTGCGGTAGTGCAATAGGCACATATACCGCACAACCAAAAACCTTTAAATGTGAAATATTTGGTTGATTACCCAGCACAAGCTGTATTGGAGAATATTGATTGTCGGCGACGGGCCTCAACCGCACCAGAGATGCTGCATGTAAAATGGCATATCCCCAAGCAGAAACTGGCAACTTTGTTCTCATTAGCAATGTGCGTGCTATCAATTGAAGACGCTTAATCAAAGCTTCTGCCAAGCCATTTTGAGTATGAACATGGGGAACAGGATGTTCAATGTCAATGCCTAACGACATGCAGTAATCATCAAAAGTCTGAGATGTAAATTCACCAGCATTATCGAGTCTGATTGACTTAATGGGATAATCTGGGAATTGGGCTTGTAATTTAATTATCTGAGCCAAGAGCCTAGCAAATGCCACATTCCGAGTGGACAAAAGGCAAACATGTGACCATCGGGTAGATGCATCCACCAAGACCATAAAGTATCGAAATGGTCCACAGGGAGGATGAATAGGCCCACAAATGTCCCTTTGGATTCTCTGTAAAAATGATGGGGACTCAACATCAACCTTTGGTTGTGATGGTCTGATTACCAACTTCCCTTGTGAACACGCTTGACAAAAGCTGTCATTTGATACCATAATGTGTTTTGTCAATAAGGGATGTCCTTTAGAGTTGGTAATGATCCTACGCATCATGGTGGATCCAGGATGACCCAACCGGTCATGCCAAAGCTTGAAAGTATTTGAGTCAATGGACTTCTGGTCCATGACACTATGTGCCTCAATTGTCCGTATGGTTGTATAGTACAACCCTGATGAGAGCGCACAGAGCTTTTCCAATATACGCTTCTGGATATCATTGGAAATAATACAAAGATATTCCATGTTTTTCTCATTCTTTGTTTCAACATGGTAACCATTCAAACGAATATCTTTGAAACTCAACAGATTTCTTCTGGAGTTAGATGAATACAAGGCATCTTGAATGGACAGTATTGTCCCATTTGGTAACATAACTTGGGCTATTCCTGAGCCTTCAATCAGGTCTGGAGGTCCTGATATGGTTGTTACCTTTGCTTTTGTAAGCATCAAGTTTGAGAAATACTTTCGATCTCGAAGGATTGCATGAGTAGTTGCACTGTCTGCAAGACAAATATCTTTGCTAGAGCTCTTGTTTTGGGGGCATCCATAATTTACATCCATGCCTTCAAATAAAATAAGTTGAATCAACAATCATTCAAAACATTACCACTTTTATTGGATTGAAGTGAAGGCAGAAAGGAAAAATAAACAGTGCTTCAGATAATACAAATGGTACATGAAGGATTTTAATCCAGTTCAGACCCATAAATTTCATTCCCTCTTTCAGTAACAAAATCGGAAACATCTAGATGCGTCTTGTCTAAACGACGCGATATTTCCGATGAGCCGTCTATGGCTGGCGGATCTGGTGCAACATAATTTGTCTCCACTTTTTTGTTTTTAAGTGAAGTTTGATAAAGATCCGCCAAGTGCTTCGGCGTACGGCATGTACGCATCCAATGTCTCTTTGCACCACATCTGTAACAAGCGCTTTCATTATTTCTAGGCACATAGCTTGCTTGTGTTTTTCCCTTATTTCTGGGTGCATTTTTGCCATTCATGGATGGATTGTTTCTCGGCCCCAAGCCGTATGGATGAGCACCACAATCTTTTCTACTCCCTTGCCATCGGCCACGTTTGCCTCCTCGCCCACGTTTGCGGATACTGCCACGAGATGAGGTGGCATTCACTTCCCGAGATGCAGCATGTATTTCAGGAAGTGGCCTGTTGGGCGAGATTGGTGATTTTTCAATAAAAGCTCGTTGCTCAGCTAGCAAGAGGCAAGATACAAGTTCTAAGTACTTGCTGTTGCAGAAGCACATTTGAGGCATGAAATGTACTCAGAGTTTTTTCGAGCATATCTTCCTCAGATATATTTTCACCACATAATTTCATAAGGGAGGTGATCCTGTGCATAGCTGAGTTGTATTCAGACACTGTCTTGAAATCCTGAAATCTCAAGTGTGTCCATTCGTATCTAGCTCTTGGGAGAGTCACCGTCTTCTGATGATTATATCTCTCACATAAAGCTTTCCATAGGACCAATGGTTCATCAACTACCACATATTCGCTTTTCAGCGCTTCATGAATGTGGCGGCGAAGGAAAATCATGGCCTTCGCATTTTCCTTAGGTGATGCATCACTTCCATCTTCAATTGCTTTGCCAAGGCCATTAGCACGTAGATGGATCTTGGCATCCAGAACCCATGATAGGTAATTGTCCCCAGAAAGCTCTAGGGCAGCGAATTCCAATTTAGCCAGATTTGCCATCTTCAAAAGAAGAATGAGATGCATTAGAATTCGCAATAATCTTCAAGCTTAATATATTTTTGAACTTCAGGTCAAAAGATATCATGCATATTTTACCCAAAATTTCAAGTTCGAGATCTGGGACATTAAGCCATTTATTAATAGGACCTTCTGGCCCTCTAATTGTTTGAGGAACTCCAGGTCCTCATTTTGATTATAAAAATAAAGTGCTATAAATTTGCTGGTATGGACGATAAACCCGCACCATACTTTAAATGAAAGTAAATGTGCGATAAAGTAAATTCATAAAGTAAACTATACTACCAAACGGCTCGTGCACTTGCGAGTATCACAAGTTGAGGATGCAACTGAATCCATTTTGGTGCAGCTGTATCTACGCAACAAGAGGTAATTGTCCCCAGAAAGATCTAGGGCAGCGAATTCCAATTTTGCCAGATTTGCCATCTTCAAAAGAAGAATGAGATGCATTAGAATTCGCAATAATCTTCAGGCTTAATATATTTTTGAACTTCATGCCAAAAATATTTTACTCAAAATTTCAGATTCGGGATCTGGGACATTAAGCCATTTATTAATAGGAACTTCAGGCCCTATAATTGTTTGAGGAACTCCAGGCCCTCATTTTAGTTGGTTATAAAAATAAAGTGCTATAAATTTGCTGGTATGGACGATAAACCCGCACCATACTTTAAATGAAAGTGAATGTGCGATAAAGTAAATTCATAAAGTAAATTGCTTGTTGTATGGACGTTAATCCCGCACCATACTTTAAAAAAAAGTAAATGTGCGGTAAAGTAAATTCACAAAGTAAATTGCTTGCTGTATGGACGTTAATCCCGCACCATACTTTAAAAAAAAGTAAATGTGCGGTAAAGTAAATTCACAAAGTAAATTGCTTGCTGTATGGACGTTAATCCCGCACCATACTTTAAAAAAAAGTAAATGTGCGGTAAAGTAAATTCACAAAGTAAATTGCTTGCTGTATGGACGTTAATCCCGCACCATACTTTAAAAAAAAGTAAATGTGCGGTAAAGTAAATTCACAAAGTAAATTGCTTGCTGTATGGACGTTAATCCCGCACCATACTTTAAAAAAAAGTAAATGTGCGGTAAAGTAAATTCACAAAGTAAATTGCTTGCTGTATGGACGTTAATCCCGCACCATACTTTAAAAAAAAGTAAATGTGCGGTAAAGTAAATTCATAAAGTAAATTGCTTGCTGTATGGACGTTAATCCCGCACCATACTTTAAATAAAAGTAAATGTGCGGTAAAGTAAACGTGCAATAAAGTAAATGCATAAAGTAAATTGCTTGCTGTATGGACGTTAATCCCGCACCATACTTTAAATGAAAGTAAATGTGCGGTAAAGTAAACGTGCTTGTATGGGCACTAATCCTGCTCCATACTTTTAAATAAAAGAAATAAAAGGCAGTTGTGTGGACGATAAACCCGCTCCACACTTTAAATAAATACTGCCGTATGGGTAATAACCCTACACCATACAGTAAATAAAATAAGTGTGGGGATAAAAACCACCACTAAAAATATAGGAAGTATATATTATATTTTGTGGGCAATATAACTGCACCACAATTCAAGATATAATAGATGGGTTTTAAGATCACACCATCATTTTATTATGATGATTTGTGTTACAACGCGATGGGTAATGAAAATTACACCACTATAAAACAACATAATGGGGTATAAAACCGCGCCATTCCAAATTATATTACAAAGAAATAAATTAAGCAAACATGGATGAAGCAACACAAAAATTGTGAGAACACAAAAAAGAAAGTTTGCATGTCGTCGTAGTAGTAAAGTGAGAGGAGACATATGACGGAGAGGAGAAAGAGAAATAACCACATAGTGTTGAGCTGAGAAAATTTAAAAGTGGAGAGACTATCGTGCTGATAACGTGTTATAAAATAAAATAATTAGAGTATGGAATTACCACTGAAAAATGATAGTGGAATTATATCTTTTCTTGTGGCGTTTGCACAGATTGAATTTCCTCTCAAATAGAAACTCACTCACTAATACTCAAATTTCTCTCTCCTTTTCTTTCTTCTCTCTTCTGTTGGTGTACATTACAAATGAACGAACAAGCCTATTTATAGGCGCTTCTGAAGTTTTCTCGTGAGTGTACAGTGCATTGTACAGTGTACTTCTGCCTAATTCCGTGAGCGTACAGTGCACTTTGCTTCATATTTTCAACCATGTGGGCTCCACTATTTACAACAATCCAAGGAAGATTGCAATGCTGAATATCAAGATGTGGGCTCCACTATTTACTATTTACAACAAATTATACCATTTGAACTCTTTGCTGACGGCTAAGAAAAACCATATTTTAGAAGTTGATGCAATAAAGTCAAATATATAAGACTTTTAGGGTTTGTTATTTTTTATTGGAGCATGATGAGGTGTTCCCATTAAGGTTTTGAATTGATTGATTACACGATTACAGCAGTCTTTCCAACGAGAGCAATAGGAATCATAGGTATTTTTGAGGCCCAACAAGCATGGTGTTTTTACTGTAAGAATTCTATGGTGAGAACCTTATATATGGCCCTTAAAAGACAGAACTTCTTATAAGAGCCATATATAAAACCCTCCCTATATAATGACTCGGTTTTACTGATCTAATAAACCCACAGTTTATTTTTGTCTTTTCTTGATGGATTGAATCAATGCCCAAGCAATTCACAGAGGGCTCATATTAGTCTATTTTTTTATACCAATGACGCGATACACAGCCCAAAGATAACTGCTTTGACCACTTAAACTACAAACCTCTTGCCTCTAAATAGAGGTTTGAGTGGATAATATAATTTCAACCTCTAAAGTCATCTTTGTTAACTTATTACATTATGTTACATGTTTTATCAGAATTCGTTTTGGGCCATGCTTATTTGCAGACACTAACAAAATTAGAAAGATTCCAACAGAAAAGAAGAAAAGAGAAAGATCTCAAAATTAGGAAGTTGCAAACATTTATTTTGGGTGAGTGGTGATTTTTGTTCCTTTTAGTTTTGGGGGGTTGAAAGTGAACAAAGTCCTACCTCAAGGATTTTGTCATGTTAATTGGCTGGTGGCCCTTACCCCTCTCTTTCCCTCAAGGAAGGCAATCACTCACAATTCACTGGTACGAAATTTGTTACACCACACAGAAAATCCAAATAAATAAAATAAAAACTTCAAACCGAGTTTAGAAGAAGAAGAAGAGCCTAACAAATTTTGAAACCCATTTCTCAAGACTATTTGCAAGGGCCAACAGGCAAATCACCAAGAGAAAACATATAGAGGCGAGGCAAGCACCTGTTATCTTATAACACAAGAAACCTAATATTTCACTCATGTCTAGGTAATTTTGACAGTTTAGTGCACATCATTAATCATTAATTAATTATCATGGACATCATGGATCGTCTAATGATCACCACAGCAACCTTCTTCACCTTGTGCATCATCATCACCATCATCGTTCCTTGGTCAGAGGCAGCTGGACAAAGCACTGGGAACGGCTTACATGTCGGCTTTTACAGCCGCAGTTGCCCAAATGTGGAGAAAATTGTTGCTGAGATTGTGTCAAAGGCTCATCAGGATGATCTAAAGCTCCCCGCCGCCCTCATTCGCATCTTCTCCCACGATTGCTTGGTCAAGGTAAGTCCATATACATCCGGATTGGATAAAACTATTTGTACCATCTCAACTGAACATCTCTAGTAATAACAACACGTCGCAAATGGTACAAATAGTATGAGTTGAAATCATGCTCCTCCTTAATGAATTGCACGGTTATTAACATTACAGGGCTGCGATGCCTCAATTCTTCTGGATGCCACAGCCTCACATGAGCCTGCAGAGAAGCAAGCACAAGCCAGTGAAATGCTTAGAGGTTATGAGCTCATTGATGAGATCAAGGACAGGGTAGAGGAGGAGTGTCCACAAACTGTCTCTTGCGCTGACATACTAGCCTTTGCTGCTCGGGAAGCTGTTTTTCTGGCCGGTCTGCCACGACACATGGTCCCTGCTGGACGCCGTGACAGTCGGACTTCCCGTGCTTCCGACATCACCATCCCTAACCCTACAACACCTTTCGATGAGATCATAGATTATTTCTCCAGAAGAGGCATCACCATTGACGAAATGGTTGTGTTGAGTGGTGCACATTCCATTGGGGATGCTCATTGCAGCTTCTTTGACTACAGACTCTACACCTTCAAAAAAGACCAGCCCCAAGACCCTGCCCTCAACCCATCCTATGCTTCTGAGCTGTCTAAAACGTGCCCAAAACCCAACACATTGAATCCAGCTGAGGCTAAACAGAGAGCCGTCGAGTTAGATCCCACAACACCACTCGTCCTGGACAATCACTACTACCTGAACCTGTTGCAAGGGAAAGCCTTGCTTCAGTCGGATCAGACAATGGTTACTGATCCCCGCACCAGCGGATTGGTGCAACAGTTTGCCTCAGATCCCGAATCTTGGGCTCGAAGATTTGCCAAGGCCATGATTAAGATGGGGAGAATCAATGTTCTCACTGGAAATGTTGGAGAGATAAGGAAAAATTGTCGGGCCATCAACTAACTATGAGCAATTTAGTTTTTAATGTCAGTTGTGTGTAGAAACAATTGTGTATATACTATAGTGTATCGAATCTACTCAAGTCAGCATCCCATGTTGTGTACCTTATTAACTTGTATATATCTCTCATCAGATAACTAGGTCACGGGATGATGAGATATATAGACATGTAAATATCATAAGATACACACTAAATATTTCTGCGTTGTGCCTTGGACAAAGCTTAATTACTGTAAGTTAGTCTGTAATTATAAGTTTTTTTGTTAAATGATTTTATAAATTTGATTGGTTATTTAGCCTAAGGAGGTCTCTAGTCTAGATATCTAGAACATAACACATTGGTATGAACTATGAAAGGTAATGTCTGTCATTTGTAGTACCTTACCTTGGAACTTGGAAGGAAGC